GAAAAATAAAATTTATTTTATTTTATATGTACTATTTACAACTATAGTTTATACATCGAAATATGTTGTTCATACTTATGTGTTTTACTGGAACAACACAAATAAAATTTGTAAATTATTCATCAATAAGGAATTTTATAAAGTTTATTTATTCCTCAACGACCCCTTTCACGTTATGAAAGTAAGTTACTGTTTTTTTCTGTACTTTGTAACTGAACAGTTCACTGAAGGACATTTGATGTCTATTATCTTCTCCAAGTTTGAAAATGCTACCATTAAAGTAATACGTGAAAGGTATATGATTTGTTACACACTGACCTAGATTTCAAGTGTATTTAGAAGGTATTACACGAGGTTAGTGCAACTGGTATGTTTATCCCTCCCCCCTGTGTTGTCTTTCCCTAACCGTTTGTGTGACGTCAACATTCTATAACGCTTTAGGAAGAACACTAACATCAAAGTTGCAGGTGCAGTGGTCCCTGACTTACACATCGACCCACGTATGACCTTTTGGTCTTTAGTCTTCCTGATGAAACAATTACTGACAATATCGACTTTATTTCTAACAAACATTGCTGTCAGTCTTTACTATCAGTATATTTTTAACAGGGTATTTTTGACTATTTACAGGCACATTGTATTTTTAAGTTGTGTTTAGGTGACTGGAAACAGAGCTTGCTTAGATTATAAATGAATGTGTTTTTATAACTACTATATGTTTAAACCACTTATATATCATAATTAGTTTATGCCTACCCCAGTGGCACATCGGTATGTCTGCGGACTTACAACGCTAGAATCCGAGTTTAGATACCCGTGTTGGGCCCATTGTGATAGCCCATTTTGTAGCTTTGTGCTTAATTACAAACAAACAATTAGTTTATGGTGCATTCTTATTTAATGTTGTAATCAAAGTTCATATACACTGCTTTACAATTCAATACTAAACATTGTTCGTATACCCTGCTTTACATTACATTACTAAATATTGTTCATATACCCTGCTTTACTATACAATACTAAACAGTATTTTGCATTAATGAAGTTCAATTACGTAATTAGTCACATGTACTGAAAAATACTTTAGTGAAACATATATATATAAATAAGGTGGAGTTAATCTTAAGCACAAGAAACTTCTGAATGTAATTAACTGTGTAGTGGAAATGTGAAGGAAGTGTAGTGTTGTTTTCCTCGACATTCCATTAATTTTGACGTTTCTGCCAAATATGAAGACAATTCTTTAACTAATAAAGAACAGAATCGTATGATAGTATGTATATGATACACTGGAAACTGCAGAACATGAATTTATACATTGTTGAAAATACCAGAAGCTTATATTTACATTTATGTTATAGTCATATCCATTTTCTGCAATTGTGATCAATTAAAATATAGCTAATTTGTTCTCTGTATATATGTTTATGTTGTCATTGTGTTTCAATGTTCTTCTCGGTTAAGCTATACTACAATAAAAAGTCACAAGGATGAAACTACTTGCTGTAATTAGACGTTTTATGAAATGATTATTATATCATTTGCACTAAGAAACATCATTTTTTTCATCACACTTGCAATATTGGTTATTTTATAATGAGTACATTGAATACCATTGGTTGCAATATGTATTTTTTGCTATCTGAAACACATCAGCCCCATCTAGTGAGTTACAAAGCAAAACAAGCCTAATAATTACGATAACAAGATGATACTGGCATATTTGCCATCTAGTGGCAATTTGTAAAATTACATTCACAATGTTAACAGTTCATAATATGATAGGTTATTACTACTTCCATGATTTCTATTAAATATATAAGGATTATTGATAGTTATCTACCTATAATAATAGATCATTATCAGATCTATGATTGTTATATAAAACGTTTACATAAACGTCAGTTCATTTACCAATAAAGCATTCTATTCCAAAACTTATGATTTCCAAAACAAGATATTTTGCAAAATGAAATATAAAAATTTGGAATTATACTAGTTCTGTTATATTAAAATCATAGACTTATTCACAGAGAAGCTGTATGCCAAATATTGTGACTGTAAATCAAGTCGTTTGGAAATTACAAAGGAAGTAAAATCATGATTTTTACAAACTTCAGGTGGCTCTCGGAGCATTGAAATTTTAATTATGTGCATTAAAACAATTATCATACCTTAAGGCGTTTAATACTATATCAATATATATATGGTGTATTACATATGATACTTACTTAATACCATTTACAAAACAACTTTAGTTAGACTCGACTTTCATATAATGATGCGGAGTCCTACCATTAAAATCATGTTACTGAAATGATTGAGAAAATACTCCCTATAAGTGCATCTTTTTTCTTTATTACAATATAAGATTTTCTAAGATATTTTTAACGAAAGCCTTAATCCAAAAATTACATAACCGTAACATTTGCTCAACTAATTGTATTGAGTAGCACGATGAGTTGTAAAGACGTGTTTAGAGAGAGCTTATGGTAAAACTCTGGCTATACAAATACATATCAAATATGTTATCATAAACTAGTTGGTCAACAAAAGACAATAAGTAATTTAATACTCAAGTTACGCATCATTTTCGTTGAAATTTCATTGACGTTTCTTTCGGATCTGACGCAGCAAATCTGTCCGAATGAGTGCTCCATTTTCGCTAATTACAACAAATATTAGGAGATGGCGCGTTTAAAATCAATATTCTTCCTATACTACTCACTATAAACTATACGTTAGTGCCTCAAACATTATCATATTCTACTGGTAACAATATATCAACTAAATCTAAACAATTGTTCTACTTAATTGTTTACGCTGTGGAAGAATATTGGTATAGCCAGTAATATGTATAAAATGGAAAGCCACTTTTCATCTAACGATTTCTAATTTAGCCTTGATGAAAAAGGATACTCCATACTTTGTTGTTAATGGCTTTGGATTTCCCAATCTTCTAATATTCTCTACATTTTCCATTTTCGAATACATGCATTAACCCTTTGTTTACGAATTATAACAATGTCGAGTGTATGTTATTGTACCAGGTTGGTTCCCTACTCCATTCTTTACTGTGTTCTTCATTAATTCGATTTATTCAAGTCTCCTTTGTGGTTTGTGATATAAAATTTTTCTTGTTTGGCAACAGTCTAGACATGAATCCGTCTAATTAATCCTAATTTATGAATCGCAATCAGTAACTTAAAGTCGGGCCGGGCAACATATATTTTTATCCTAAATAAATTCTTCTTCGCGAGCAACAAGATGTAAATCAAACATACGAACATTAAGACAGTAAATTAAAAGTTTGTGTAATATTCATTATAGTTGATCTTATCATTACCTAGAAGAAACTTTATCCCTTAACCGCGTAAACTAATTTTCGTCTTAGTTACATTTTCAATTGATTTTGTCTTTATATTGTACTCAGATAATAAACAACTGGTTAATTAAACATAAAATTTTAAACCTAATGTAACTAACTTAACTTTAATTTTTTTTTCTTCGCTACACAATAATAAGCTATATGAATGATTTTTTTAAATTTTTGTTTGAAGTTAAGCACAAAGCTACACAATGTCCTCTCTGTGGACATATCGCTGTGTCACCTGGGGGAGGGGGCGATTTTTTTAATGTTTAAATTGTTTGTTTATTTCACAAAGTTACACAAGGTACTCTCTGTGTTCTAGTCATCGCGGGTATCAAAAACCGATTTTGGGCGTTATAAGCCTTTAGATTTACCACTGAGCCACCGGCGAGGAACAAATGACCAATTAATGGTGTATTTTTTATTTTTTTTCTAAGACTTGGTGTACATATTTTGCCCGAACTGTGTTATGAAATGTATTTAACAATTACTCTTTCAACAGGGCCA